CCCACATCTTGGTTTTCTCATCCTCATATTGGCTAGAACTCCTTGATAATAGATGAAGATTGTAGTGGATGTAAACCAAATCTTCGGTGCAACTCAGATTTAACTTATTCCTCCTAAGTGAATGGATAAAAGAATAAGTGCTCCAATTTCTTTCACAACATGAGGATGAAGTAGGTTGTCCAAGCACTTTGAAAGCCAAAGATTGGAGCAATGGAATTTCGGCACCAAAGTTAACCCACCAACTTTTTGGATCCGAAGAATACCTCTTTGTAAGAGACATCAAATCTTCAAAAGGCCCGAGCTTAAGTGAGAAACAAGCAAATTCATCCAAGACTTTGCCATAATCATCATCATTTGGAAATAACCTACGAAAACATTTCATTCTCTCGAGATATTTCACCATCTCTATGAGGAACAACTCTACAAGGATCCTCGCTTAGCCAACCATCACTATAAAACTTTCAACATATTAAAAAGAAAATTACACATAGCATCAAAGAACTAGAGTTGAAAATTTAAAATTTAAAATTTAAAACTAACAAAGTTATGTATGTACCTTGTATTTAGTGAATGAGCTAGATAATGAAGATGAGTATAACTCTTTGTCCAACGAGCTATAGAATCCCATAAACAATATGATAAAAAGGACTGAAGTCTGAAAGAGGACGTTTTTCCTTCTTGTAAATTTCACACTTCACTTTCTCAATCATGGAATCCCACAACTCATATACCAAATGAAGACATGGCTTATCAGTGTCACATACTCTAAGCATGTCATAGATGCCCTTTGTAAAATGAATGATTTAAGTTACTTTATCCCACCAATCATCACTCACAAGCTTTTTTTCCACAAAGTTTTCTTTCAACATGTCATCCTCCCTATAAGAATTTCATTCATCACTAATAACCATTGCTTGAAGTCTTTGCTTGATGAGCTTAAACCTCTTAAGCATCACAATGATCGAAGCAAAATGAGTATCGTCAACTGAAAGTAACTTAAGATGACTAAATCTTTGAAAGATTATCAATCTTATGTTGTGGTTCATGATGGAATTCTTGATTTGTACAGCATCCCCATGAATATAAGTAATCCAATGGCACAAGTCATATGTTTCCTCATTTCCCTCGACATTTTTTGTCAAACAAATGTTCTTCAAGGAAATATTAAGTGTATGGACAACATTCGGTATCCAATAAATATAAGGATTAATGCTCTCAATAATCTCTCATGTCCCCTTGCAATTAGCTGCATTGTCAGTAATAATCTGCACCACATTTTGATGCCCAACCTCATCAATCACTTCTTCATCAAATTAGCAATGAAAAACTTATCTTTGACTTCACCAAAACAATTCACGGCTTTAAGAAACATAGGCCCATTTCCAAAAGTAGCCATGAAATTAATGAGAGGTTTTCTTGTTGGATCACTCCAACCGTCACACACAATAATTAACCCTTTTTCTTGCCATGTTGCTTTAATCGGTTGCAAGAGCTTCTCAACATTATTTTTTTCTTGTTGGATCGATGTGGTTCGTAATTTATTATAACCAGGGGGAACATAACCAAGAATATTGTGAGTTGTAGCAAAAGTGAAAGCCCTATGATAATGAGGATTTCTAGCAAGATTAAAGGATAAACCACCGATGTAGAACATTCTTTCAATTTCTTCATCTAATTGGGTTCTCGTATTCGTGTCGAATGATCTAACAAGAGGTGATAAGATAGGTTTTCTCTTCTTAGAAGAAGAATCAATCTCAATTCCAACTGAAGAATGAGAGGGCAAAGAAACTTCTCTAGTTACTTCTTGTTTCTTTATATTCTCTCACTCTTCTACCAAACTTACCATTTCAAGTTTTTTATTTGTAGTTACCTTTTTGCAAATTGCAACTCCTTCACCTGAAATTTGAAGCAAATGTGCCTTTATCCTAGTATAGCTTCCATTACGAGTTTCGCTGCAAATGTTACATCAAAAATTCCAAGTTCCTCCAACGGTCCATCACTTTTCTATCTTTGTCACATAATTCCACAATAGAGATAAATTCTCAATTTGGGACGATGAAATTGACCCACTCCCACTATTACTTCCAGTCCCACTACCAATTTGAGATGCCATATTTATACTAAATTAATCTGTTTACATTAAACAAAAAGCAGAATGAAACAAAACAATGAACACATAATGAAAATGAACTAAATAATTTAACAACATAATTAATTGATGAAGCACCAAACTGTTTGCACCAAACTCTAATTTCATCTCGATATAAAGCACCAAACCCAAAATATTTTTAACAACAATAAATAGTTAAACTAAATAGTTTAAAATTAATTTTTCATTATATTTTTCAATCCCCAAACCCAAAGTGCTTCCTTTTCCCGTGCCTTTTTTTTATAAACACAATTAAGAATGCAATGGAGTGAGAGAGCAAATTTTTTCATTGCTTAATAGTATGTACATTATGTTCTCTTAATAGTTTGTACATTATGTTCTATTATCTAAAGTTACTACAAGTTTGTACATTCTGTTTTATACTTCTATTATCTTTAAATTAAATCATTAGCTAGAAATTCCAAAAAGTTGAAGAAATAAAGATGGGGTAACAACACATGTTGAATCGAGTGGTTAAAAATTCAATGACTCTTTTGTTGGATTTCAATTTAGAGAGATAAGAGTGAAAATATTGGGAGAGTTTGAACTCCAAAATAAGATTTCACCCTACCTCCAAACTAAACTAAAATTAGAACCCAAAATAATTAAATAAGATTTCACCCAAGATTTCAATTTAGAGGCCTCCTACTTCTATAAAAAAAAAAACAACTATTTCTATTTTTCCCATGAAGATGCCTCTTTTAATGGTTGATCCAACTCAGTGTTAACTCTTGAAGACTTGAACTGCTTAGACTGTGTTTGTAGATATTTGTGAACATGAGTAAGAACTACCGGTGGTCATGTCATTTCCTAGGAATATTAATTACACATCTGCAAATGCTTGAAACCATTTATTTACCCTTGCTTTGCAAAACAGAAGCTCTATAATATGTTGAAATTCTCCCAGTATTTGATTATAGACTTCGCAATTTGGCAATTTGAAATTTTATATTAATATAAGTTTGATATAATAATATTTTTATTACATTGTTTAGAGAAATTTATGCATTTATAATGTGTTAACGTCATTTTTTTCCTTGTGTTGTGTTCTAGGTATTTTCTTATGTAATGTTCGTGTCGTACAATCATGTTGTGTCTAATATTGCTAGGTCTACTTCTGGATCCATTTGGGGGAGAAATAATGGCGAATATTTTTTATTAGTTCAAGTTTAGGAGTTAGACCATGTTATTTTTATTCATTTCCCTAGTTCCCCCTCCCTCCCTCTCTGTTTATTATTATTTTTTACCTGAAGGTTGGGGGTTTGCATCCTCTTTTGGTTATTTTGAGCCCTTATCAATTATGAGTAGGCTTATCTCTCTCTTTCTCGGTGGCAATGTGTAAGCATCCACTTCCTTACCGTTTGTTGACTCGAGCTTACTGTTAGAACTTGATGTTCTATGTCAAAAGAGTCATACTGACTAGGTTTGAGCAAAACTCGACTCGAATGAAAAAATCAATCTTTTCGACTCGACTTGAATTGACTCATAATTTTAAAACTTGATCCGACTTGAAAAAATTTCAAATTCGAGTCGAGTTATAAAATATAACTTAAAATATTTAGTAATTAGTAGATTGGTTTTCAAGTTTGAGTCGTGTCCCTCAATTTTTTATGATATATGTATATCACAAATGAAAAAATATGAAGAAATATATATGTAGTGTATATGGATATAGAAAACCGTTTAAATTATAATCAAATAGTACCATAATATTATAAATATTTGCAATTAAATTTAAACATAAACTCGATTGAATTGACTCAAATTTTATAAACTCGACTTGAAAAACTTTCAAATAAAGTTTGAGTTATAAAATAAGACTCGTCAACTCGAATAACTCAAAATTTTTTGACTCGATTCGATGAAAATTTCACCCCTAGTACTGACCGACTTGATATATATATATATAGATGGTTCTCATGCTCTTTAACCTAAAATATTGGTCACCGTTTTAGTTCCCCTAGAGATGCATCTAAGGCTGCATCATTCATTAAATATGTGAATCTTGCTGCAGTTTACCTTTTTGGCGCCCATGTTTGACTTTGCACACAAGTGTTGCATCCTGTTTTTGTTATTTTGAGTCCTTACCAATGATAATATGGCTTTTGTTCTTTTTTCATATTTCCTTTTTAATTTTCTCACTTGAAATATTGTTCATAAAAATTTGAATGTCAGCGTCATTTTTCTTCCGTTGGATTGTCGTATAGCTGTTGAAATTTGATGTTTATGTTAAAAAAAGTGATGCAATGTTGATGGGAATACTGAATCTTATCGTGCACTATGACTTGATATTTTAAACGCCCACACTTTCCATACAATAAAGTGCATGAACATCTGCAATCTGCAGTTAATTATTATTATTGTTCCTTTTGTTTTACACAGTGACTTGAGTTTATTATTCTTTGTAAGTTTGCATTTAAAAGTTACGTCTTATGATAGTTGGAAATTCTCTGGCATGGTAAAAGAGGTTTAACTATGTGATTATGCAAACATTCCAAAATTTGAAAAGACGTATATAACATAGTCATTATCAATATTTTTTAATGGGTAAAGTTCACCAGAGCTCACAGAACTATGCTAAAATGATTGTTTTTTTCATTTAGCTTTTATAAGTTACAAAATGGTCATTAAAATTTTCAAACTGTTACAAAATGATCATCGGGATGCTATGATAAGTGTAAAAGTTCGATAAATTTAATGATCAACTTGTAATAGTTCAGTAAAATTAAATGACCATTTTATAACTTTTGAAAGTTAAGTGATTAAAATGATCGTTTTAATATAATTCAGTGACCTCTAGTGTTCTTTACCCTTAATTTCAAAGTTCTTACCTATCCTATTTTTTTATGCAGGATGGCACACATTATATGATTTATACACCATCTGATCCACTTCTATTTGTTGCTGTCAAGGTATAAGCATGCCTAAGGGATTACTGTTTCAAACTTAAATGCGGCTGGAATTCCACTCTATATTGAATTAGATGCTCACACATCTAAGGACTGGATTTTAAATTCATGTCTACAAGCAAATAACTTGAGAAGTACTAAAAGGGAAATAAAAAGATAAAGAAGCATTTTGGAGATGAACTGGGAAGCTGATAAATCTAAGTTTTGATTTCTGCAGAATCAGAATGGAATGCTGCAAATTGCTGATGACGTAAGCAACATTTACATTTTCTGTAGAAGTTATTGAAATTTTTTCTTCAAGTGCTCCATTCTCTATTCCTTTAGATTATGAGAGGACAAGGAACATTGTTATGCGTGCATTCTTTGTTATCAAGCAATATTGCGGTTTAATATACCTTCCTTGCTGTTGGTGTTCACTTTCACGTTTATGTGCATATTGGCTCCCATTTAGAGGCCTTCACCTACTTAGCTTATATAATAGGGTAAATTACACATTTAGTATCTAAACTATTACTTTATTCTGTTTTGGTACCTAAACTTTAATTTTTTTCCAAAACCGTACCTAACATTTAGTTTAGGTTTCATTTTGGTATCTTCGGTTAGGGTAAATTATACATTTAGCATCTAAACTCGAAAAGCTCGCGAGCAACTCAAAAAATAATATATCAAATTTTTATAGTTTTAAATTAATTTTATTAATAATATTAACATTTTTATGTTGTTTTTTAATGCAATATAAGGCTTTAATGTACTTAATGTTCAAGTTTGTGTTCTAGTCGAGCTTTAATTTTTTATTTCTAGTGGAGCTTGAAAATTTTAAGCTCGTGAGTTTTTGAATTGATTCAATGTTCAAATTTTTATTTCGAGTTCAAGTCGAGCTTGACAATTTTAATCTCGCAAGTTTTCAAGTCGATTCAAGCTTAGTTTTAAAGTCGAGTTGAGCTCAACAATACTAAAGTTCAACTCGGCTCATTTACAGCCCTACCTACACTGGAGGATCTTCCTCACTTGAGAGGGAACTATGGTGGGCGGTTGCAGTTTTGAGTTTACGATTTAATATCTTTGTTCCCATCTTTATTATTTACGTCCCTATGGCATTTTAACTTAGTTTTAATGAATGAAGGTTATATCTGACCATATGTTTGTGGTGCGACTCTTAAGAAGTACTGCAGTAGTATATAATCGTGTATTTGTTCATTTGCTAATAGGATCTCCTGGACGACCCCGTTATCACGAGTGCCGTCGATCAGGAAACCGAGTTTAATGCCTTGGTGGTATCAACACTCTACAAACCTTGTTGTCAATCTACAACTGAAATGACCCAATGATAATCATTCAGGCATTTATTTATTTTACAGGAGGAAGAAGTTGCTCATCGTGAGTCATTATTAGGTGAGAGATGACCGGGTTCTTCTCATCGTTTCTTCAATTTCCCTATATGTATGATCTGTTATTTACTATCCGTATATTTCTTCCATCCTCTCAATTTTCCAAGTACATAAGGAAAGGGAAAATAGATTTAGAAAATGTAAAAGTATAAATTCTGGTTTAATGTGATGACCGATGCAAATCGAACATTTAAGAAGCTGAGGCTATGGATCATTAGAGAGGATAAAGGTCGGTAAGGTTTAGCTGAGGACAATAGTAATACCTTGCAAATTCGTTGATATTTTCTTTTAAATAAATACTAATAGTTGTGTGCATTCCATTACAGTTTGTACTAGTAGAATCAACACCTTGCAGGAGTAGATGTTTGCCTTTTAAGTAAAGCAAGAAGTCCTGGTAACATAGATTCAGGAAGGTGTGAAGAACAAATAAAGTGTATTGAAGCTAATCACAAAACTAGCTGGGCAATGTGCTTGACTTGAGCTATTGTCTTAACCGTAACCTTAACACATAATTAGAACATTTTCCTGTAACTATTGCCGTAGAAGAAATTAGTCATTTAAGATCATACAAGAACCATACAAGGAAAACGTTGAAAACCCAACCAAAAAAACTCAACACAAGATAGATACAAACAAATATGATTGCATAGATAAATGAACTATAAAAGGGGATCAAAATACTTTGATCCACAAATATAAATTGCGTATCAGAATCTAATTTGAGGGTCAGGAATGGGGAAAATCAACATGATAATAAATAAGCGTCATCTTGATCAGTTGATGTGATGTCAACGTCAAACTCGACTTCGAGAAGAGATAAATGAAAAGAACGGTCAAACGACCAATAAAAAAGGCCAAAAATGTATTAAAAGGTAGTAGAAGTGTCATACAGGCAAAGAAAATAAAAACTAATAAAATAAAAAAAAGATGTGATATAAGAAAGTGAAGGAAAATTTAAAGAAAATCGATGGTCGGTTATCAACACCAATTGATGAATCCATCATGCAATCAAAGATGAAAAAAAAGTGGCGCTTTTGAGGGGAAAAACTAGAGAAAAAAGGTAGAACTAATGATGATAAATGTGGAAGATTAATTTGTGCACATGATTTCTCAAATTTACACTTGAAACTTCAAATATAAAACTATAATCAATATAACAATCTTTAACACTTATGGTGAAGCTAATCCAACGGCTGATGCTTTGGCAAAAGCTTAGATTAATTGGACATCAAAATATGTTTCAAGCTTGGTGGTGGTTCTTTATTAATAGCTAAAAGCATTTTATTTTTGTGGATGATTTTTAGTAATATTTTGTAAATATTTTGTGGATGATTTTTAGTAAATATTAAGTGAAGAAATGGTAAAATGGCCTTTTCTAAGAAAGAATTTTATTTTTCCCTTTATATAGGAGATCAATACGTGGATATGGAGAGAAATGAAAGAAAGCTCTAGAAGTCTTGGTTGGTTTTCTTCTTCTCCTCTTCCTGTGGCTCCATTGGTAAGGTAGATTGGTTTCAAGCTGGTTAATTCTTTCATTTTAAAGTTGGTTTTGATTCTTGGAGTGATAGAAAAGCTTAAGGAGGCTTAAGTTAGCTTTAAAACAAAGAATGAAAGAATTATGGGAGATTAAAGATTTGGAGTTTTTGAATGAAAACTTGGAATAGGGTTGATAAGTATACTTAAAAGTTAAATTTGACTTTTCAATAGTTGAATTAAGAGATATGAAGTGATAGAATTGAATTTAGAACATGTTGAAAATTAAGTTTAATTCTTGAATTACATGTAGTGGATAGAATTTTGAGGTTTAAGATGTGATAAATGGGTATTAATGAGATTAAGCATGTGTATGTGAGTTAAGAATATGATAGGGGATGAAACATAAAGTGTCTAAGTGGATTTGGAATGATTTTCGGGTTTAAAAGTGATTTCTGGGTAAAGGGGTATCGATACCCATTCAATAGGTACCGAAACCTCAAGAATAAAAATTCATGAAGACATTCAAAGGGAATCGATACCTTCAGGATAGTATCGATACCCCCTTGAAATAAAAAATTATCAAATCTAATTTGGGTATCGATACCTAGGCAGTGTACCGATACCTCAGTGAAGGGATGTACCGATACCCTATAGAGGTACCCTTACAAAAGTTAATTGGGATTTACTTTTTCTTATAGCTTCAAAAATCAAGGATCGAATCATAGTATTTGGAATGTTGATATGTATACATGATTGTGTAGATATCGATCGCGATCAACGTCCGGACAAGTTTACAATTAATAGTAATCGAAAAGAGATAAGAGATTGATATTTGACTAGTAAGGCCAGATGAGTGCATATTAGTTGATATATGATTTTTAAGGGAAATAAAACTTGCGATGAGTCTATTTCCTATATTATGATGCATGAATTCAGGAATATAGGCATGTGTTGATATAATTGTTGTGTGTGACTTAGTACTTGAATATGATTACATGTGTTATATGTTATATGATATAAGTGAGTACATGTTAATGTAATCATGAATGTGTATAAATGACATGTGATAATATAAGAATCTGTTATAAGATCTATGATATGAACATAAGAGATAATATGAACATGAGATATGTGATTATGAATGAAATGATATGTTTACATGAATATGCGAAAAGGTATATATGACATTTGAATAATATAGAAGTTAACTACGTGACTATATGATCATATGAAAACGTGATAAAAAACTATGTGAATGTATTATAAGATAAATGATAATGCCCATGTTATGTGTCATGAGAGCTAGAGGTATAGTTAGCATGCCAAGAGTCGAGGGTTCTACGTGGTCCTTCAGGACATTTCTATGCGGTTCTTCGGATATGTAGTGGGACCTTATACGAGCTGTGGTGACATCATATATGCACAACCTCTATGTACTCACATATCTATAGTTATCAAGTATGTGCATGGGCTAACAAAGAGATAATAATAAACATATTACATATGACGTATATGCTTTTGTGATATGATTTGTATTACATGATTTATATGATGATATGTGTATTGTTTGGTTAAATGAGTCATATGTTGGTTAAAAATATTAGGTACAAGAGGATATGATTAACACATATAAAATAATAATAATATTGATAGTGAAATAAGGTTAATGAAAGAAATGATGAGTGATATATGTATATGTGTACATTTGATTATATGTAATGTTATATTGTTTTGTGTGATAGCATGATATGATATGTTCATGCATGGTTAAGAAGTTAGAGTTACCCTTATAAGTTTAATGCCTCACTAAGTTATCGACTAGCGTGATTGTTTCAAATGTAGGTTCGAGGAGATTATAGCGCGAAGAGGAGCAAGACAGACCAATTACTCATTGCCAAAGGTCATATCAGAAGAGAAATGGATATGATTATGTATTTTGGTATATTGAACGTAGTTGGCATGTACTAAATGATTTGTACTGAATATGCTCTGATAGGCTTTGTAAAACTAAATGTTTTTAATTAATGCAATTTATTCAGTTTTATTTAAATGAGAAATTGAAATTCTTTAGTTATTTTGTGAAAAGAAACAGTTTAAGAAGTTAATGTGACACATTTGACTCGTATTCAGGTCGGATACGGGTTGGGGGTGTTGCATTTAATGATATCAGAGCTAAGGTTTAGCCTATTCTAGGCTTAAACCGAAGATAAAAGAGTTTTAAAATGTGTATATGCTAACTCAAAGTGAAAATTTCTGATCTGATAGTGTAAGGAGTGTGTTGTCTTACTAATAGAATTAGATTATTACGTTATAAAAGAAGTATGCTATGAGAGTTTCGAAAGAAATGAGAGGTGATAGACTTGATGGTGATAGCAATTCACCTGTCTTGGCCAGGCAGGATGAAGAGCGAACACCTCAGGGAGCACCTTTATAAAAGTTAAGGATTGTTTTCAGAAGATTGAAAATGCATTCAAATAGTGTTAAAAGATCTCTATTGTTCCAAAGTGGAGAAGTTAGATGAAGTAGTTTAGTTACTATGTGATCAAGTTAAAGTATAGTGAACAGATGTTATCATGAGAATGATAGAAGATTCAATGATGTTATTATTAGTTTAGAAAGTTTGATAATAAGTATTTCGGAAATAAGGTTATCAGAAATATGAAGACAAAGTTTATGAGTTTGAAACAGGAGAATCGTAATATGTATGGATAAGAGTGCAGATTGATAAGTTAAGTGAATTGTAGTTAAGCTAATTTGAATGAAAATGATGTAGATATTGTTTGGAATAGTTTAAGAATGGGTACATCAGTGATCAGTTTGTAAGACAAAGGAAGTTGGAATGTTGAGTTAAATCAAGGAAAATGTATGGTGTATGAGTAAGTAATGGGGTAATTCTGACTGGAAAAAAATATATAAGAATGGTTTGAGGAAGCTTTATGTTTTAGATTGGAAGAAATGGTGCTGACTAACAAGGTTATGTATATGGTAATAAGATTCGAAGAGTGAATGAAATAAGGATTCGTATGTTTGAAGGAAGTTAAAGATTGATAGAAAAGTTTAAGATGATAAAAAGGGATATGTGTATTGTGATTTGAACAAGGATTTTTCAAAGAATAAAGTTTATGCAAGTAATGCTAACTATCAAAGTTATAAAATACGATAAAGATTGATGATCAAAGATAAGTATAAGCGATATGAAAAGAGTATATAAGTATGAAGGAATAGATATGACCAATGTTACAAGGAAATTTTCGATTTCTAGAAAATAGTTAGATAGAAAATTAAAGATGAAGTTTAAAGGATCAAGTGTGATAAGGGCTATATTGAAGTGTAGGTTACAAGTTCGATATAGAAGAAAGGAAAGTGTGCAAGGTGATGTGAAGATATTGTTTGATTCCGTAAAGTATATGT